TAGTTTATTCAACCAACAGAATAGTGCCCGCTTAGTACAAATGGTGCAGCATTCGCCTCATTATTCATTCTGTTTTGGTCTGTTTAACATTGAAACAGTTGCTATGTTGCAGCACTGCTTTCTTGGGACTTAAAATGTAGATTGCAGCATAGCTTCCTCGTGGAGTGGCTTGTGGGAGATCTTGAAGCCTTTTGGGAGTCCTGGAGGACTAGGAGAGCGAATAAATTCCTAAGACCTAGAATCATTTCCAAGCCCTTTTCTCAAAATGGGCACTCTGTTCTCGCTCCTTACTTGGCAGTCTGTTTCTCCTGGAGCTTTGAAAGAGTAGTCACAAGGCATCTGCAAAGATGTGGAGGATTATTCAAACAAGCAGTTCAGTTAGTTTATGCAATATCTGTTTAGATTCATTCCTAGAGTAGTTGATCCATGCAGCACTCAAAGGCTTTCACAGGGTGGAGTGTTGCTGTTGGATCGATATCATGACCTAAAGGTTTTTGAGTCTCAGCTTGACAGAGCCCTGGCTGGGATGATTTAGTTGGCGTTGGTCCTGCTTTGGGCAGGGGGCTGGACTCCATGACCTCCTGAGGTCTCTTCCAGCCCTAGGATTCTATGACTTTAGACTGGTGGAGCTGAGTACTGGAGTCTTTGTAGTGCTGGGTTCTTAGCTTGGGGATTTGAAAGCGACTTCTTACTCTGTGGTAAATTGGCAGTGGCACAAAGGGCAAGTGCTTCAGTCTGTGTTCAGAAGAGATACAGTTCTCCTGAGGAAGACTATTACCTTCCTATTCTTCTTGGTGGCGTTCTCCTTGAATCAGAAGATTTTGTTTGGAGTTGAGAGACATAGTTAGTTCATCCTAGCCCTTTGGAATACCAAGGAATGTGATCAGAACTAACTTTGGTTTTGAATTTCAGTGCCATTGAAGCAGAATGGAAAAACAAATTGCTGCTTTGATTGTGTACTGTTTTTGCCCCACATGTGAGTTCTCTGGCGGATGCATGTACTCGCTTGAATTGTTGGGGCTGTTACACCATTGATTTGCACCACCTGAGAGGGATACAAGTTGAACCTCTCACAACCGGGACTCTCGGGTCCAGCAACATCCATAGTCTGGATTTTGCTGGACCGGTGAGTCCTAGTAGAGAGCCAGAAGCAGGAGCCCTGTGGACACTGGGAACTTAGGGGGCCAGTGTCTGGGAGTTCATCTGAGCCAGCAGCACGGTGGCTGGAATGTCAGCGGCCTCCGATGAGTTAGCGATCTGCATGGCTGGGCCTGGAACCCTGGTGGCAGGACTGTGAGCTGCCATGGTAAGGCTGTCAGGTGGCCTCACACAGTGCTGCCGTGGTGGGGCTGGGAGCCCAGGTGGCTGAGCAGTGGTCTGCTACAGTGGGGGACCATTGGCTGGCGGGGCCAGTGC